TATTAACTCTTTAAATTCAACAGAAAGCACTATTTATATTACATTTGATTTATAGACAAAAGTCCGCCTTTTGTGGATATATAAAATTACTTAATTAAAAGGCATTTTTCTCCCTCCTTTCCAGATGCCTTCGTGGTGTAATTGGGAGCATATTTGACAGGTCCAGGTTTCGAGTCACAGCGAGGGCACTGCATATTGTTCCCATCTCCTGCTTTAAAAAAAAAAATTGACTCTACAAATTTGAATACAAATTCAAAGTAACATAGTCGGAGATTGTACAAAATGGTTTACTTAAGCAGTTCAAATATTTTTAACGGCGCGTTATTAACGTCGGCTAGCAAAATGACTAATGCCGGAATAATCTCTGGCAGGGTTCGATTAGGATTACGGAAAGAAGAAGCTCCTATTAACAAATTCCAATAGGAGAAGAAGATAAACAAAAAACAGCGATAATAACACCATTTGTACTTTTTTGAATTTCACGTAATGAGTTTTGTCTTAAGAAATGCTTCCTCCACTTTTCAATGATTCATTAATACAGTTTTTCAGTGAACTAGATTTTATTTTTTCGTGTTTGGACGGCATTCTAATAGCGTCAGAAACTGAGGAACAGCATAAAGAACATCTTATGGTAGCATTTAATAGAATTCAACAGTACAAGCAGCAAACGCAAAAACAAAAGGAAAAATCAAAACCAACTAAAAGCCAATGTAAGCGAAACAGAAATTATTTTTCCATAAGGATTTAGATTCATGTTCGCACGTATTTGTCAGAGTAGACCGTGTCAAGAAACCATTAGAATCTCCTTATGAAGGATATTTTCCTGTGATTACCAGGAATTACAAGTATTATATAATGAGAATTAAGGGCAAGGACATCAACATTTCCGTCGAACAATGTCCGAAAATAAGCTTATTTGTTAGCCTCAGCTGAAGATGATTCCCGAAATGTAACAAATAAAGATAAAAAGAAACAGCCCATTAAACGGACATGAAAATGGAAAGACGGAGGATTCAAAATTTAAAACGGCACGTAGTGGGAGAAGAATTACTTTTCCAGCACGTTATCAAGATTACGTGAATATTTAATGCCGTATATTAATTTTTGATTTAATGATTGTAAATATTTTATAAAAAGCATTGATATACCTTATTGCAAATTAAGTTTTCAGGTGATATTTTAAGGGCTGCTCAAATGAAAGTGGCACTACAGTCGGTTTGAGAAATGGTTTAATGATATTGTTACGAAATGTACAGGCGCGGTGAGATAGCTTCCCTGCAAAGCAATTTTAGGGTTGCCGTAAAATGGCAAGGGAAGGCAGGGTTGCCACATTTGGCGACAAAATTGGCGATATACCATGGACGGATGGAGAACCTTCTGGAACGAATTCTTACCGGTTTAGCCCAGAATGTTCTCGAACACAAGTCGAAAGCTATATAAACCCTGCTGGTCCGCAGTCAGTTAGTGTGTGTGTGTGTGCCTCGTCTAGAATGCGAGTTAGTTAGTATCGAGTTGGTGTCTCGTCTAGCGAGTCAATCCCTGCGGAGTCGATTGAGCTGACAGCCGGGCAGCGAGTGCCGAGTAGGTCGTCGAGTGCACTGAAAGAGTCTCGTAGTGTATCGCGGTTAGTGCATCGTCGAGAGAGCGTGTTGAGCTCCGGGAACGACTGAACCGAAGAGTCGGGAGCTGTGCTCGTGTGTCGTCGAGTGCATCGCGAGTTGTAGCGTGGAGAATCTCGAGAGTACGTGGAGTTCCGAGAACGACCAAGCGAGTCGGATGCTTTGCAGGAAGCTGTCTCCACTGTTATTGCCTGACATTGTGAAGGCTGTGTCGCTGATTGTTCCAGCGTGTTTACAGTAGATCTTCGACGACTGTAAAACGTGATTTTTGAGCTGTCCTGATTAATATTGGCTAAATAAAGTGTTTCGATACTTCATCAAGTGTCGTCGTTATTCACTCCAAATCTACAAACCCCGTACAAACGTGTAGGAAGAAAATAACGTAACAACTGGTGTCAGAAGGAAAAAAAAACGCGACAATATTAATATAAGTTAGTATACAGAGGAAAGAAGGAATAAAGACGTAACAGATAGGTTACACAAAGTCAGTAACAGTATACTTACTACGTTGGTGGTTCTTGATATTCTGTCTCAGGTTCTGCAATGTGGCACAGTACGTAGCAGCAGTGACAGTTGTGCCCGTAGGTATCCTTTCCAACAGTAGTGGGCCGTCGCCGTCAAAGAAGCACGTTAACATGGCTCTAGTTGACATGCGAGCCTTCTTCGGGATGAAGAGTGTCGCCATTCCATGCTTATGCTTTTGGTGGCTGGATAAAAGTGATGGCACCATGTTTCATCAGCGGCAATGATCCTTGAAAGGAATTGGTTCCCCGTTTCGTGGTACCGCATAAGGTGCTGCATCGAAACACACATGCGGGGAATCTTCTGCTCTTCTGTCAAATATTTTTGGCACCCATTGAGCACAAACCCTGCGGTGTTGCAACCTTTCACGCAGTATTGTGTACACACTCCCTATACTCATAGACATTTCCTCGGATATTTGAGTCGTGATTCGCCGATTAATTTTCACGAGACGGTCCACATCTGCAACTCCTTCCTCATGATCAACTGGGTGATCACCACATGCACTTGACCAGGTCGCGGCCTGTCGTCAGTACTCCTTCTTCCATTACGAAAATCCCTACACCATCGGAATAACAATCTGCTTTTCATACACTTCATGCCATACACATTTTGTATTCGACGATAGATTTCAAAAGCACTCACATTTTCTGCTGTTAAATATTGCTCGTCCGCGCGTTGACGCCCTACCTTTTGAAGGCGTCCATGATGATGGGAACAATGCCTTTTAACATGCTCCGGCGCATTAACACGGTAACACACGCATTTTTCGGGATTTGACGATATCGCAGTACTCCCAGCACTCTGCGCCCTCTATTAGGTGCATGCACAGTCGCTTTTATCTTCAAACGGCGGAGTTATTACAGTAATGCCACTTTTATTTGAACGACCCTTATAATAACTATTTTTCTCCTTGTATCGCAACTAAGCTGCTTGAAAGGGGAGTAGTGTAACCTCTACAAATCATATGTAATCTTTGTTTCTACAGCTTTATTTAGACTGAGAATAGCAAAGGTGAAATGAAAGAACAAAATATGATTAGAATACAAATGTTTTAAAAAGGTAGATGTCTTAAAAAGTAATGAATATTTTTAATATAGTAGTGAAAAGTTATTTTTAAACAGAAAAATAATGTTTTTTTGTGAAATAGCAACCGCTACGCATCCATTCCTTCTTCGAGATCCTAAGATCCTAACTCGGACCTGTCGGTGAGACAGTCAGTGTCACTAACCACTGTACTGTCTTAGGAGGCTGTATGAAATAACTTTGGCATTTGCATTTGTTTTTAACTTTTTTTGAGAATGTGTGTAGAAAAGTAGTTGCAGGGTTATTTAAGACAGCCATATTTGAAAAAGAATGATTCTGATTCGGCAGCCTAACAACAGGAAGCAGATTCTTGCGTCAGACCAAACCGGGTCTATACGCAATCTGAAGCCCAACAGTCAGCATTTCTAAAAGCAGGAACTCCCGAAATCTTATCCCCTAGCCACTAACACTAAGGACTTGTGGCCAGTCGGCTGTTCCTAATGGGGACAGCTAAGCGCCTCCCATTTCAATCTGAAGCAAAGGCCAAAGCAGTGGGTTGGGGACAGTACCTCGTCCTTCAACTACCAAGGTTCTCCTCTCCAGCCTTACAAATCTCTAAACATAGCAAACGCATAAGCGTTTTTCTTCCCATGAGAGACTAGAAACAAGGGGATGTAACAGCATCTCACTCTAAGCCCCAACCTCCATAAAGAAAACGTACTAGAGAGGAAAAAAACGGAAAAGAAAATAGGTAAAGATATCAGGACTACTATTACTTCTTATCTGTTTTGGAAACATGTAAGTGTCCTGAGTAGAACAGTGAGTTTACGTAAACTATGTTCTTTTAAAGATGGCAAGAAAAGGAAGGGTTTAACTACCCTTTATTCTTCACAATTCACAGGTGCTCCAGGAAGACCACCACTTGTGGTCTGAACGTAAGAAAATAAGAACTACAAGCTAACTAAATTTAAGTAAGAGCTAAACTCAAATATTTTACACAGACTAGTAACAATAAGATTGGCCTTTTAGATTTTTACGTATGTAGTACGCAGAATGCGGGAAAACTACAATTACGTCTTCGATATCAAGAGGACTAAACCTCTGGCCTTAAAGGCGGACAGCAACTGACTGAAAGCACGCGTGAAATAAAGTGGCGAGAAGCCTCGCTCTTTCTCTCCTCTTGGCGAAAAGCTACAACTTAAATACTTATTGAATTTGCAAGCACGATTTGCATAAACAGACTAACGCATTTATTCTGGCCGGAAGAGGAAAATAAGAGAGGATAAAATAAAAAAAGTTTCAAAATAAAATAAACATTAGAAAAACTTAAGATCCTTATAAAGAGAGGAGAGGAAGGTAAAAGGAGAGATTACTGGAACTCTGGGACTGTGACCCTCGTTTCACCAAGAGGGTGATACCCTGAAGGGCTCGAGATTGTCATACCCGTCCTCACAAAGAGCGAACCTCTAACGGCATACCTGTTAACGATATTATTCAAATTCAATATTTTATTTTCGTTAATAAAGTTATGTCTTTCTTCACTTAATTTAAACTATACTTTCGTCTTTAAAAATTATTTATTAATATGTTTCGATTTCATTTACCAAGACAATAATAACGTAAGAGATCAAAATATTCATCCAAAAAATATAAATAATCGAGCACAAAATGACGTAAGAATGAATAAATTAGCATAATGAAGTAGATTGACTAAATGAGCATAAGATACCTCTAAACGTTTTTAATCTCAGAATTCATTTAAACCTTTCTAGAAAAGAAGGAGAGGAATTATTCCTTCTCAGTTAAAAAAAGTACAGTTTAAAAATTACTTACTGTACTGCTTAGTATATCCTGATACTATGAAGATAACCAAAACAGGTATTTATAATGGAACCTACACATTCAAACTGGATGCTGTAATAAACAAAACTGATATAAATAATCATTTAAAACAATTTACTTAACTAGATTATTTTTTATATTACCTTTGAGTAAAAATATTTTGTTTTTTTCGAGCCGCTTTAGAGGGAAATTCATTAAATAACTAGCATAAAATTTTGAGATCAAATTCATTCCTCTTTCATTGCAATATAACTATCAACCAAAAACACACATGTTAACTCTGAAATCATAATAAAAAATTACAAAGTAATTTATTAGAAGAAAATGCTTTTACAGCATTTATTCTGTTATTTTACACAAAGTTCTTGTTTCTCTTTTATCAAATATTATCAGGCGGGATGCACCACAAATGTTAATTCGATTTCTCATACTTTACCTTCCTTTCTTTAAAGACCATTTAGTGTCATTTGATACAGTGCTATGAAACGAATTACCCGAAATGCATAGTGCAGACCTTTACAGTCACCCGCTAACCATACCAAGCAATATCGTTTTCTAAGACAAATTTTTCTTTTACACAAGTTTGATTAGGGCAAAAAAATAAAATGTACTGTATAATTCCCATACAATTAATTCTCGTCTCAGGCAAACTTGTAGTTCGCTGGAATGGTATACTGCGTTTTATCGCTATCCCGAAATAAGTTCAATTGTCGTTTTTGAACAGTTTTTGAACAGTAACTTTAAGGGTAGTTGATGACGAAATATCACATGAAGCACAGATGAGCAATATATCGCATGATAAAATGAAATACACATGAGTCCGACAGAGAGCGTGAAACACTACACCTAACTGCAACAAGTCTGGAGCAAATACTTGTCTACAAAATTCCATTTTGCGATATAACTAATCAGGGTTACGATACCATACATTGACTCACGTAATAGATTTTATAGCTACAATTATTTACATCGAAATAATACAATTAGAATTAATCCTCAGTCAAATATTTATTTTGAAAAAAGGATATAAATCACTTCGTTCGTGAAGCCAATAAGACTTCGCGAATGAAGTTAGGTTAAAAATGCGCAAAATAAATAATGTTTGAGGAAAAGAAATTTTTGTAGAAAGTTGCAGAGACTAAAGCGCTGGTTGGTGTCACCTTGCAAAATCTACCCCTCTTTCTGTCATTCCTAATGAAGATATTAATTGAATTCAAAAAGTAATATTTAATTTTATTTCATTAATAAAATATTTCCTTCACTTTAGATTAGCTATTTGCTGTATCTTTGAAGTATAAGTTTTACTCCTCGGAAATTTATCATCTTTTTATTTCAGCTTCATCTGTCTCTCCGTCTGTAGTCTTCCAATCTATTGGTGATGGCCTTGGGTTATAAGCCTATGATTTCGCTACTCCAGAATTTAATTTCTAGAAAATCAAGAATATTTGACTAAAATCGTAATACTGAATTATTTATTTATTTTGTAATAATTTGTAAAATGCTAGAACTCACGAATTAAGTATGTAATTCTTTGTAGCCTAAGTTTAAAGTGAAATGAATGAAAGGTGAAAAAATATTGAGAAAAGAGGAACATGTAAAAGTTTTCATGGTCTTTCATTTCTCTTAAAACAATCAACTTCGATAACATTTCTTTATTATAAGATAAATATTTCTTTTTATATTTATGAGAAATTAATCTCTTTTTTTAATTTAGAACGTAAAATTGCTAATAATGATCAAAGTCAAACTACTAATAATGATGAATAAGTTTCTGAAGGCATAAGTATGGTCCAAGGGTGAATTGGAAGAAATAATGAAGAGTAGACAAGAGGTTGTCAGAGAAGAAACTGTAATCATCATAAAACAGACGACGAAGTCTCAGTCCAATTTTATGCAGAATAAGCATTGCAAAATGCAATAAATATTGTTTACACTCATCAATTAGCATCACTTTGTATTTTTTAAATAATAATTAAAAGTTATTATTGTTTTTAAATAATAATTAACAATAAAAGTTATTATTGTTAATTAAATAATAGTTTATATAGTAATTATAATTATTAATTTAATTAAATAATAAAATATTATTTATAGTTAATAATTAATTTTAAATAATAATTTATTTAAAAATAATGCTTTATTGATTAATTAATTATTAACTTGAAAAATATCCTCTAATACTGGTCTGTTTCGTTTCCCGTTTGCAGGCAACAATGCAGTTTACCTTATTACAACGCTGAATATGTTACAAAACCCGCTTGGTTACTTAAAACATCATTGCTTTTTTTTTTTTAACCCAGTGAAGAAATCAGAAGTGAATTTAATACTAACACAAGTATACGACCGGTTGCCAAAAGTTATTCTTTCGCTTTTCTATTCTTTTCTTGTTACATACATCACACTAGTCAGCCCAATCCAGAAGCTCAGTGGTAACTGTAGTTACTCAAGCATGAAATATGCTGTGACATATCTCTCACTTGTCTGACAGCAGCTTCTGATCAAGTCCGCTAAATTAATTTTCACCAAGAGGCAAGGACTGTGTCCGTCGTTAGCTTTGGAATTAGGCCTCTTATAGGTATACGAATTTAGGTGGCTCCGTCCCAGTTTCGAAACAGAATCCTTCAAGAGACGAGTCCAAGGGTCTCCCACCCCTCTTCTCAACCTCTCGAGAGGACTTTCGGCTAGACTGTGTTTTAAGTGTTCCCATATCCGTAAAGACACTATGCACTTACAAGCATCCATATCTTCTCCAGAATTTGAACCCGAGTAATTTTTTTATCACTAAATAGTAGCCCTTCTCAGTATTGTGGTTAGCGATGCTGATTGCTGTCCCGTAGGGCCCTGGGCAACGTTCTTGGTAATCAAATGGTTAAATGGCCAATGAATTCGGGCATTTGCAACCAACATATAATGAGCAAGGTGCCTGCCCATTTGAAAAAAAAAAGTACTACAAATACTTGATTCCTGAGCAAGAAATATAGGAAAATTATTCAGAAGAATATTAAATTAGGTAACACATGTACTACTTATACATATTTTCCCCCTAAAGTCTGGATTCTTTTCAGTAATTTTGCTTCAGCACGAAAAATGATTTTCTAAATGCGTCAAATTCAAGGCTTTTAAAATGGTTAATTATTGGTATTTTTTATTTGTTATTCAAGAAATTTAATTATGTATTATTTTTAAATTTTGGCGTTCATTGCGCCAACATAATTTCTATATAAAACTAGCTTTTGTTATTTTCTTCCAAAATAGATTTTATTTAAAACACCTAGTGTAGACATTTAATCCACTTCAAGCAAGTTTTAATCAACACTGCAACAAATTTTATTAGAAATTTGATTTTTATAATAATATAGATTTAAATACGTAAAATGAATACAAACCACAATTGATAATGATTTGTTACTGTCATATTCTCAGGGAAAGAGACAGTTGTTCTTTATGTGGATCAAATAGAATGAAAGGTTGATTTTATGAAAGACTATATCAATAAAATGATGTTATATCAGAAAAGATGTGAATGAAATGACATGGAAAATATCTGCAATTATTGTTATCAGTTTGCTGGAGTTCATTCATAATTTTTATTAGTGTTATTATGAGATTCTAAGTTTTTATTTAAGAAAATTTAATAACATTTTTAATTCTTAATTTTTTATAATTTTAATTTATTGCTTTTTTCATATTTGCATGATTAAGTTTAGAAGGTATTTCTCTCACCTTCTTGACATGCCTTCGTGGTGTGGTGGTCTGAACACTGGGCGCGCATTCCAGAGGTCCGCGGTTCGATTCCCGGCGAAGGCGTTGCTATTTTTCATCTCTCCTGCTTCCAAAATACCTAATGTCTCTACAGTGGCACCCGAACTAAAAGGGTGTTGGATGATGATTCTCCTCGCCCAGGATTTGGCGATTAGGTCTCCTAAAAACCTCATTCGCCCTTTCAAAGGGGGAGTATATACGGTATTTTTCCCACCTTCTTGGCATGCCTTCGTGGTGTGGTGGTCTGCACACTGGATGCGTATTCCAGAGGTCCGCGGTTCGATTCCCGGCGAAAGCGTTGTTATTTTTCATCTCTCCTGCTTCCAAAATACCTAATATCTCTACAAGTTTCTAGAAAAAAGAATGTTGACAGATTTATCATTTAATTATGATTAAGAAATATAAATTACAATGATCATTGCTTAGTTTAAATATTATTTATTGAAGTATAATAGGTACGTAATGAAATAAATAACTCTAATTTTTTTTTTTTTTTTTTTAAATTCTGGAAGTGATACCCCAAACGGAAGAATCAAATAATCCCTTTTTATGGCAGTATATATCCCTTTCAGAGTGAAATTCTGAATTCACCGAACGACATTTTAATTATTGTTGACTTAAAAATAATGTATTCTGTGAGGAAGAAACACAGAAACTCTGCTGAAAATTGATTAAAAATATAAGTTTGCTGCAAAGGGTTAAAAATGAAATCTGTACGAAAGAAACTACCATTCCTAATCTCCCTGCATAAGCTACTCCAACACTTTAAGACTTTAAAAATTTCAGCATGTGAAAGGCAATTTAAGTAATCTATAAATCTCATATTAAGGGAAATATCAAATGTTTTAACACAATTTAAAAGACGACAATATTTACAAAGTGGTGCTTTTATATTATGGAAATCCATCTTTAAATCAGGATAACTAGCAATGTATCATTTTAAATGTTTCAGAGTGGACAAATTAAACATTAAATCGAAAATGCCCTTAACTAGGATTAGATTGGATTGAATTATATAGATTACAGCAAAGCACACGACCCAAGAGGGAAGGTGCCTTCGTTTTTTTTTTAAGGGAAGCTGGCTCGTATTTGCCTTGCATATAAGGAAATCATGAGAACTCTCATGTAGCCCGTTCACCGAGATCTGAGCCTTGGCTGAACTACCATTGTTTAGCAACGTAAGCGCTCGGCCACTGGTGGAATAATTAAACAGGACTTCAACAGTATGTGAAACGAAGAAGTGCCTATCATGACTCCACTAAATTCCTCTAATTGCAGCATTGCTACATATCTTTGAACTATAAATGCTGCTCACTTTTTCCAAATTATATTAACGGACAATAACGCATACCTAAATTCATCACTGGCAAAATTCATTCAGCCCAAAAGTATAGGATTAGGATCCAATAAATAGAATTATAGGCAATTAGTCACTTTTTCATTAGGTAAAAAATTCTAAACTCTAACATTTGTCCTTTGGGCTCTGTTTTATCTACAGCTAAAATGTTACAAAACGAAAAGCAGTCTTTCCTGAAGATGCAATAGAAATTTTAAATAAATTTGGCAAGATTACAAAATTTACGGAAATGTAACTGACTAAAATCTTAATATTCTGGTGTCAAAACTGAAAAAAAAAAATATGGAAAAAGAAATATAGAAACAAATTTAGAAGGAAATAAAGAAGTGGGAGAAAAAAAAAAAAAAAAAAAGACAATTTGCGGGGAAAATCGCTTTAAAGAAGTTGCATGTTCAAGAAGAAAATACCTGATACCTGGAGGTTTACCCCATATTTTGCTAAAGTTTTTCGCATGGTGCAGTGCGACAAAGATATCAGCAAATGGGCTTGACACATCATCACCGTAGGTGAAAGTGAAGGGCAACTGAGTTTTAACTGAATGGATGTATTAATTTAAATTACGTCATAGAGCATCAATCATATCATATCATAAGCGGAGATTTCCAGGATATCTCGATTGAAAAAAAAAATCATCACGTTTATTTTATCTGCGGATAGATCCATGTTAACATCAAAATGTAAGGAGAAAAAGTACACTTTATATTTTACAAAATTGAAAAAAAAAAAAAAAAAAAAAAAAAAAAAAAAAAAAAAGTCATTTAATTCTTTTCACGTCCAGTTTCATTTTAATTTTTTTAGGGAGAAAAATCTCCACTTTTATTTTGTCAATGGAAAGACGCGTGTTAATTTCAAAATTTAAGTACAAAGAGTTACACGTTGATTTTACAAAACTGAGAAAGAAAAAAAAAATCCTTACATTTTTTTAAGGTAGAAATGTTTCAGTGCTCGATTTCGAATCCTGAAGAAGGCATCGATGTTTGTAAATGTATAACGTCTTTTCGCAATGGGGGCACTCTAAATATATGACAAGCCGAGAGTCCTCTCCAGAGGTTGGTGGTAGGAGAAGAGGGATGGGAGACCCTCGCACTCGTTCACCGGGGTACTCTCCGTCAAATTTCGGGGCGGAACTGAACGAAGTCGCACTGTCTGTCATCTGTATGGTGCTCAAGGCTCTTGCCAACGACAGGTGCAAACTTGCTCTCCTTGCCATGATGAATTTCGAGAGCTTGTTCTGATGTTATTGTCAGACAAATAAGATAAGTCACAACAACAACAATCAGTATTTCAATTTTAACATTGGAATATTTCAAAGCTTTTCAACAGTTTTTATATCATTCAACTAAACATTTAATTAAATCAGGAAAAGAAATGAACATATTTATGAGCAATGAATTCTGATGGAAAAATATATTCTTAGGTTATCTTGAATTAAATTTCCTTTTCAGATTTTGAGTGGGGTATGATAGTACGTACAAAATAGCTGAAATATATTTTCATATTGATAATAAAGTCTAATTAACTTACTAAAATATGAACAGTAGGAGAAAATAATCAAAAATCAAGGCACCAGTGTCGATTAATAACATATATATGATTCGATCATTAATATCCAAAGTAAGTTTTAAAAACATTTTACATTGATCACTTGCAAGAGAATATGCAAAGAATGCTATTAAATTTCATAAAGATTCTAATCTGGAACAAAATTGCTAAAAACATAATTACAAGAATTTTAATCATAGGAGAAACTTGAAAAATATAATTTAAGTGTAATTTCTCGGCTATACTGTACCTAATAAGAGGGGGTGCTATCAAGTTTTAAGTATTTTTACTTTAAAAAAATGCTATTTTCAAAAGGATAGTTTAAATTTTTTTTTTTAAATGAGATGAAAGCATGGGCATTCTGCAATTTCATTTATTAATTAGCTACAGAAGAGGGTGATCAAACGCACAGTGTTAAAAAATATGGAAAACCATGTACAATTACTAAAAATACAAATTGTGCTATTCCTCAAACAGCCATGGCCATAAATTTCTTCAATAACCTTAAACTATTTTTATTTTAATGTATGATTTTGTAAATATATTGGTAATAGTACAAAAAATGATAATTCACGTTTGCCTGTTCATGATAATTTACCATATTGTGAAATGTACTTAAAGTTAGTTATATTAAATAAAATAAATTACACTTAAAAGCTAGAGTTAATTATATTTTTAAACGATTCCTACATCAAACAGACAAATGCCTGAAGACAACTATAAATAAAACTTTTACAGAAAAGAATAACAAATAAATAAAATAAAATAAAATAAAATAAATAATCAAATAATAAAAAATAATAATAAAAAGATTTAAAAAAATATTTAAAATATTTTGTTGAGTTTGTTGAAAAAAAGTTAAAGCAAACAAGTGATCTGAAAGTTTTAATTAAATCAGGAAAAGAAATGAACATATTTATGAGCAAAGAATTCTGATGGAAAAATATATTCTTAGGTTATCTTGATTTAAATTTCCTTTTCAGATTTTGGGTGGGGTATGATAGTACGTACAAATTTAACACTTATATTGTCAAATTTACTTTAAACAAAGAGGACATATTTGTTGCTCAAATTCTCATCTTATAAAAACCTGTTACACTTCTATTGGTTGACTAACTTTATAAATGTGTAACCAAATTAACTTATTACTTTTGTTAAATTTAATTTTTAAATTATTTCTTAAATTTATTACTTAATGCACATATTGCGAGATTACTTCCTAACATCTTTAAATGTAATGATAACCGTTGCAATTAAAAAACTTTACAAGTATAGTGTTTAATTTCTTTCATTAATTACTTTTATTGACATTTCTAAAAATAACTCTAAATCATTATATAAGAATTATATGCATATGCCATCCAGCGCAATTAATTCATTTTATAGTAATGCACACTGTAATAAACAGGATTAAGATTTCAAAAATATTTAGTATAAACAAGCAATTACATTTTTTGGAAAAACAATTAAATGAAAAAAAATAAACAGAACATAAATAGTACGAAAAATTAAAGCTAAATTTAAAAACTTGACTACTGAGAATAAAAACTATCTTTTGCTGCTGAAATTAGTTCAAACAAAGCATTAAGCATCTGATTTTTTTTTTTTTTTTTTTTTTTTTTTTTATTATTATTATTGAACTGAAAATAAACAGACGACACGCAGTCTGACAGTCTTCGTGTTAACATTCAAGAGTTAAATATTAAAAATTCTTACTTTAGTTTTTAGAAAAATAAAATCAGTAAATGAAATTAAAATTATTTTTTAATATTTAAACTAGTTTTAACAAATCATAGAACAGTTAACAATTTTAATAGAAGCGACAATAAATAAAAGGCAGTCTAACAGACTCTCTATCTGTCACAGTGTCGTCGGAAACTGAGAATTAAAGATACTAAAATTTCTTACATCAGTTCTTGAAAGATAAATACATTAAAGATGATTCGAGATATTTTTGTCTTATTTTTGGCAAAAAATTACTGATTACACTGTTAACAGGCTTATTAGGTGTAACGACCTACTGCTAACTAACAATGCGTTCTATTAACTGACACACCTATTTCGAATATTTGATTTGTCGCCAACACACGATCATTTTTTGGCGATAAATTAATAATTTTGTTCATCAATTTTGTTGGAGAAACGAAATAACTGAACATGTTACAAGCAAATCTTTTCACTCAATCCTTTTTGCAAACGGTGCTTCTGAATTAAATGTTTTTATTAAATAGCCGTATTATACTGATAACAAAGTAAATCGCATTTGTAAAGAAGTGCATTTAACTTAAATAAATAATAAAGTACACTCGAAAACGAAGTTATTAATTATTAATATAAAATACATTTTATTTCAAATTCTAAGTCCAGGATTAGCTTATATAAATTGACCATTTGTTTAAGTACCTGCCTATGTATAGTGTTTTGAAATACAAGCATGACAAAATATTTCTTCCGCCATTTTTGATAAACATATGGTTCAGGTTTCAAAAATGCATTAAATCGAATAGATTTTTTAAGATTTTGACAATTCAGCTTTTTAAGTTTCTACTTCGTTTCGTAAAATGTACAAAATTTAAATTTTTACATGTGTTCTTGCGTAATAGTCTTGATAAATTTTAAACGGTTTTAAATTACTTATTGAAAATTTAATGATATCTTGGGCAATTTTTATTGCAGCGTTATCGTGTCACTTCACTAGATGTCACTCTTTTTTCCCTCATTGAATATATTGTGTGTATGTGTAAAAGATGAAAATATATAACCTAAACTATATTTGAATAAAGTGATTAAATCCAAATTACAAAGTTTTATTTTCATTATTAGAAATTTATACTTTGTACTGTATGCTTTGTAGCTTAAAAATTTGATATTATTAGTCGAAAAACTGCTTTGTCCAGAGTAATGTGTTTGACAATGGTATACAGAGAAGAATTTCTTTTAAAACCATTAATATAATACACACCAATTCAGAAATTTGAACCATGTTAGCAACTTTTATATTTAAACCTCAGGTCGTCTCCTTAAAATCGCATCCATACTTCACAAACTAAAATGTGCTGGATTTTTTCATAATCACCAGCATATGCAGAAAAAATTAATGGTAAACTTGTTTGTAAGTAGATGGAGCTGAAGGCTTTGAAGAGCTCTTCACTAGGAGTATGAATTAATTTGGAACTGTTCTAGTTTCCCAAATTCCTCTGTTTATCGCTATTCTGGCTTCAGGTATCGTAATTCTCGATAGAATAAAATGACATGAAAGATGGATTGGTGCAATGTTAATAGATTTAATTATTAATGAGCTTTTAAAAATTTTATTATGAATTTTCATCTTATAAAACATATTTAAAATTATGAATTATCATCTTATAAATCATATTTCAAATTATAAATTATAATTTTGCAAAAATATACTTCCAATGGTATTATTGAAACAAATCTCAAAATCAAACTGGAATCACTTGAAGTTACATCTGAGGTAACTGAAATACTGTAAAATATATATACTCATTAGCACGCAAAACGTCTTCTTTATTTATTTTATTTGTTTTTATTCTGGATTAAAAAAAGACATTCCTACCCATTTTGGGGGATTTCAATGGACGGGAAAAAAATCTGATTACAGAGAGTATTATTATTATGTACTGATGATAAAAATTATTAATTATCTATGAATAGCAAAATAATACAGAACTCAAGGCAAAAATTAACTTTATCTTAATGTTAATGCCGAGTGATTTTTCTTAGTTTTGAACATCTTTTTCATCACAAGGGAAACAGAAAGTGTTTTCAAGGGCAATTTTATTAAGCCATACTTTCTTCCTTTCCTGAGAAGAACCAAAAAGTTTTAAATTCGTGCTTACAAAATATCCAGTCCCACCTTTCCAAATGTCTCTTAAAATGTTTACAACAATTATTGAACTCGCTTTTAATTTAAAATTTATTTTAAGTACTTGCAAATATGACATTCATACATTATTGAAGCTCCTCCTTCAAGATTCAAGTTTAGAAAAGATCAAAATAAACTCCTCCCGTAAACGACAAGTTTCGACCAATCAGTAATGTCGCCGCTCTTATATCCCCGCCGTCAGTGTAATAGTATTTATTCGCATTGTATTATTACATTGTTATTTTCATTTCTTTGTATAAAGTATCAAGTACTCCATTTGTTTACTACGTAGTCTGTTAGTAGTATGCTCTTGCTAAGTCAGGGATGTCAACTCTGTGGTCAGAAATGTCCCCATTGCTTGTGTTTTTCTTTTTGGGGAACATGCTTAGCTGGTTCATATACAGTAAGTTCTTTTCTGCAAAAATTGTTCAAAAATTTTGGTACTACTATTCTACATAAGGGGGGGAACGCAATATATTCTTTCAGACTTAACTTTTCACAATCTTCCCTCCTCCAATTTCCCTGATTATTCCTACCATTTGGTGCGATCAGTGTCATATTACTCCTATTTTATGGTGTATTTTGATTACTTTAGGAATGTTTATACAGGTTCTTAACTTTTTACTTTAACTTTGTGTTTTAAGGTCGTGAAAAAAACTTCCCACGTCAATGATATTTAGTTGATATTTAGCTGTAAAATTATTGCAGATATATTTAACATGCTAGTCTTGTGAATTAAGTTCTGAGACTCTGCTTCCCTCATTTCCTGCTAAAATAGGTGATGAAAGTGTTTACCACCAGTTAAGTCTAATAATTCCTGACTTTTTTTTTCTTATGACTTTCAGACAGAAGAAATTTTTTTAAGCTTTGTCTTCTCGAGCAAGATAGATATCTCATGGTTTGCAGGAGGAAAAAAAAAATCTGCAAGCTTTCAGATTTTATATTACCCCTCAAAACAGGCGTTTTTTCATTTACAGACAGTTTTTTGATGACTTCGAACCTGATAAATGCTTGTTCAGCTAGACTGATAAAAATGCTAAACACTTCATAGATTTGCATGCAGATGATATGAAAGCATTAATTCAGAGATTAAAATATACATGACGTAATTAAGAAACCAAAGCTTGCAGAAAATGTTAAGATATTTAATGCAGTAAGAAAGGGTATGATTAAGGAAAATGATGCATGATCATTTTTCTTATTAATGAAAATGATCGATTATTGTTTTCCTAATAATTTCTATTCCTAATTGATTAAAAATAATTATAAATAGGCATTCCTTTCTTGTTCTAGAATTGCATTCTAAAACAAGAAAGCTGCATTGCTTAAGTATGAGATAAAACTGGCACCATTTTTTATATTTTTACACCTTTCGATGTCAAAAAAGATTTATAAAACTTCCAGAATTAAGAAGAAGTTGTTCAATATAAATGTCAAGTATTGATATGATTTTTATTATTTTATTCTACTATAGGAGCTACATATAACATATACCATCATTATTGTGTAGGATCGTACTCTTATTTGGCCACATAAATTCTATGAGATCCTACTAAAGAACCTGGCGACTTCTCACACAGGCGTAAATGATACCAACACAGAAGGAGGGTAAAATAACGCTTTATTATTATCAACTGGAACAGAAAGGCACGTACTTCTTGCTTACAATAACACTGACAACTTGCGGTGGAAGTTAAGAATCATTACACAGTAAATTCAAGGCTAAAGAGTAGGGCTGGAATAGCACTTTAAATTAAGGCTAACTAGATTGACTCGACAACCTACCCGCCGTGATAATTATTTAAATGGCCAAAAAGACGTATCAGCAATTCCGCGTATCAGTAACATTAAAGACAGACTCATTAAGTGCGCTGCCTAGAAAATCACGCTCTGAATAAACTCCAAGATTCACCTGATTAAATACTCACTTCACTTAACTCTAAATTTGCATCCTGGCGAGGAAATGTGAGGGGAAGCTGAGGAGTTCAAAAAAGATAACTAAAATTTAAATAATTGGTTAATTGAACTGAGGGAAACCCTACAATTGAAAACAGTACCATTATTGAAAACCACACATAATTTACACAGCCACAGCATTTAAACCAAAATCACAGATGGGGTTTAATTTTTTTTTTTTTTTTTTTTTTTTTTTTTTTTAATTAGCATCAGTAAGGTTACTAAAAGCGTTAGGTCTAGTTTTCTAAAATAAAATTAGAATTAAAATGCTACTTTGAAATGTAGCAAAGATGAGCTAGACTTCATCAAAAAATTCGTCCTGATGTTTGCTACTCAGCGCCTCATTTTGAAATGCGTCAGCGTACGCTCATTAAAAAAATAAATAAATAAATAAATAAAATAAAATAAATAAAGGAAATTTAAAAAAAAACATTTTTCTGAGATAACACAGGAGAATAACTTCGTAAAATCCATATTTTTTTTTTTTTTTTTCCAAGATAATCAGCCAAAATCTCGGTAAATCATTGATAAATTTGATCATTTTATTAGAAGTATTTAATTTCTAAACGAAAATTAGAGACTAAAATATTCTACATTACTTACGTTGAATCGGAGAAACTACAACATTAAAGCTAGAAATATGTTGTATTAATTCACTGGTAATGTTAAATCGTATATATTGAAGTATTGTATTTGAACCATACATAAAGTGTTCCATTTCATTTGCGACAGTGAGTGATATTCGTAATGAAATTAAAAGGCATCTGTGGTATAATTTTTTTTACTATTGTAAATCTAATGAACTGACTTGTTTCTAATGTGCATACCACAATTTTATATTTTTAGGAAATTACATCAATACTTGCCGTAAAAAATAAAAGGATAAGCTGTGAATAATATTTAGCCACTTATTTTTAAATTTATTTTATTTTATTATGTTACATTTTATTTATATGCTGCGATCATTTTGCAGTAAATGTCATAAAATTTTTTTTAAAAAGATAGCGAAAACTCAAAAAAATTAAAAATTTTAGGCCATAGTTGCATTTCTTTTATCGGAAATGCGTTGCGAGATTTAGATTTTAAAAGGCATGGATTAAGCACAGAGACATTTGAGCAAATTAAAATTAATTAAATAAAATATAAAAATTTATAACATGTATAAAATCTGAGAATATCATTTAGGACTTGTGCAC